GTGACGATGCCGATGACGTCATCAGCGACGATGCCGATAGCGATGCCGATGACGTCACTGATGATGTCATCAGTGACGATGACAATGCCGATGACGTCACTGATGACGTCATCAGTGACGTCACGCATCTCATAATGCACCGCGTTGTTACGCCGATGCCGACGCCGCTCAAGCCGGAAACGGGCGCGTAAGAGCTGCGCTCTAAAAATAACAAGCCCATTCTTACATACCAGGACAGAATCCTAAATTCACGTCCTATAGAGGTGGTATTTACATTTCAAGTGTCTCGGTGTTGTATTTTGCTCCGACATATCGTGGGAAAATTACGTTAACCACTTACGAACAAAAATAGCTCAAATTATTGGTGTAGTTGGTCGCATTAGACGCTTTCTTTCCACGCGTATTAAGTTGTTTCTTTATAATTCACTTTTTTTACTCACATTTAAACTATTGCCAACTGATGTGGGGGACAGCTACATTTTCGAACCTACGGCGTGTTCACTCATTGCAAAAGAAATATATACGACATATCTAAAATGCGCCGTGTGGTACACCAAGTGACATATTCTTTCAACGTTCCCGCGTGCTAAGAGCCTACAGCCTATATAGGTATCGCGTGAATCTACGCTATAAATCAGAAACACAAAATATTATCAATAGTATAAGTAATCTGGCCCAAACGTAAAAAAAAGAAAGAACTTTAGCTATTTTGCAAGGTATAAAGATGGACAGTACCTACAACTCGACTAAACTTCGAAAAAGAATGCCTCTATTATTCATTGCGTGCTCTATTAAATAGCCAGCACCTTGCTAATTTTGATATGTACACATTCAGGTGCACTGAACTTCGCGCAATGCACAGAAAGTACGGAAAGATAATTTTCTTTTTTGTGCTACTAAACTATATATATATATATATATATATATATATATATATATATATATATATATATATATAAAACTGAGAAGAAAAAAACCCTTAGTGGAAACAGCAACAACGGACGATTTAATCTTCGACGTTTCGGCCGGAGTCCGGCCTTCGTCAGGAAGACGAAGGCCGGACTATATATATATATATATATATATATATATATATATATATATATATATATATATATATATATATATATATATATATATATATATATTTTTTTTTTTTTTTTTTTTTTTTTTTACGTTTTGCTATTCAATTATTGTGCCTTAAGGCCCGTTCACACTTTTGCAACCTAGTACGACCGAGAGAGACCACACCGGTTTTTAAGCCTTTTGCGACTTCTTAGGACCGCATGCACCACAGCGGAGCTGGTCCTAAGAAGTCGCAAAAGAAAAACCGGTCTGGTCTCTCTCGGTCTTACTCGGTTGCATATATGTGAACGGCGCTTTAGTGCAGGCAAACGTCACTGCTGACTTTTTTTTTTTTTTTGGTTTTCGTTGCTTTTGTGATGGAAGTATTTTGTATTACTGTATGATTTATTGTGTTCTTTTATTTTAGTTTTCTCACTCCTGCTTTTTACTTGAGGGGGGCTGAAATCCGCCAGTCAAGCTGCTCGGACCGCTATCTATCCTCAGCTCCCACCATACTTACATGGTAGAGACAACTATTATTGTTAATATTTTATTGCAGTGTATATTGAGCGGTACTTATTGTTTCTACAAATCGTGTATTTTGGAGAGAAAGGACTAAGTTTACTATATTTAGCTACTGCCGCTTGACACTGTTAAATCGGTAGCGAAAACTTCTTTTTTTTTTTTTTTTGCTCAGGTAATAGAACATACAAAATTGTATAGCGATTCGAACCGTTTCGTTATGAAATGACCAATCGACAGCCACACAAAAAGCTGTCCACATGGTTCAAGAGCGACCAAAATTTTATCCAGGCACTAACAACCTGATCATTACACGTGTACAAAAATAGAGCGTATCTACCATCGAACCAGTTATGGAAATCCAATGAGGACGAATTACAATGAACAAAATCGTGGCGACCCTTATGATGTTAGGGCAGGGATTCTGTTCGTACCATAATACTGTTCTTGTTCTTTCTGTGTTCAAGTGCCATGCTCTGAGACAGGGTCACCGTGCGACGGTCGAACGACCTCACTGGCGCCCAACGTAGGGCCAGTCTGAGCGACTACACAGGTCATGGCTCATTCTTTGTTAATGATCGAATTAGCGACCGACAACACACGAAGCAAAGGCGAACGCCGTGGCACTGCATAGTTGCCGTGCTACTTGAATGCTACTACAGACTCTTAAAAAAAATATACTTGCGCGTGTGCTTAACAACACAGCACACATTGAGCGACTCACTGCTATCTACGGAACGCAGCCTGCGAATGAAGAGGCGCAAGAAACAGTATGACTCGAAATCGCAATCCGCGCCAAGACAATGGCTATGACATTTCGCTCGCGTTTGCCCTTACGGAAATCCCGTTTTCGAGCCAAACGAGTTTATGGGTTTCGTCATTCTCTTCGCGCACTATATTAATCGCATCTACTGGCCCGTCTATTGCTCCGCGGGAATACGTAGACGAGAGGATAAATTGTTTTCGGTTTAAAGTTACCACAGGTCATACTGTGCAACAGAATAGTTACCATAACCGCAGTGACCGAACTTACAATTGTGACAGTTCATACCCCGGCCGAGGTGCCCAGAATCTGGCGGATGTGACGGAGACCTATTGCGGAAAAGGTGCCGTGTAACCGAAATTTCTGTTGCACGTCAAAAGAAGACCGGCAGTCGGGATTAATTTAAAGCTCATGTCATCCGCTGGGGCGCATCATTTGCCCTTCGTTGGTTTGGGCACGTAAACGTCCAAAATTCTACTTCGGCTTTTACAGAAGCGAACCCGTTTCCGGGAAACGTATGGTTACAACCGACTTTGCCATCAGACGAAGAGAGACTTCGTTTGTTTACCTCACCGGAGAGCCGCTCTATTCGCGCACTCGTATAAATTTTGACGCCTGCATCCTCCGTGTTGTCTCTCGGTTCGTCTGTTTGTTTTCCTTACGCAGACCTCGCGTTTTTTTTTTTTTTTTTTTTTTTTTCCTTTCGCGGCGGTTAGCCGGTTGCTTGCCTGGATGGGGGCGGCTGGCTTTCTGGTCCAGCGTCTGTACAGTGTCCTGGCCTTTACTTCTTGTCCCTTGCGGAGGAAGTCAGAGATGTGATCTCCAGGCGCTCCGCTCGAGACCGCTTGGTGGGTGGCATGGCTCGTTCGGGCGGAAACTTCTGGAAATGGTAGTTTCGAGGTCGGTGAACGAAACGAGCAGACTTCTACCCTACATGAGTGTTTATCTTCATTCGCCCTCCTTCTCGACCGCTGAATGGCGAGGAGCGTTACCAACCCCGAAGGACAAAAGTTAACGCGTATATAACTTCTGTCCTTCGTCGTTTTTAAGACGCTGAAGTCACGGGTGTTACAGATGACAATATTAATATAATTAAATTAGTTCCCCTCCCCCTGCACACGCACACACAAAGAATATTGTGAGCGGCCCAACCATTTTCTCTCTCGGTGTATGTGCGATAAGGCAGTGCCGCATGGGACGATGTGACTGTTCCGGCCGCCTTCGATGAGTTGTGATAATCTTGTTTGGGGCCTACTGTACCTTTCGCAGCACACATTTTGCCCCACCGAATGTTTGTTCTTTCTCGGCAAGAACAAGTGAGAGTGACCACCAGCATAGTGCGCACGATGTCAGATTCGGAAGGACCAGTCATTCCGAGCGGATGATTGCTGCCCCTGTCTGAGTAGCCAATAACCTGACGCGACAACTCATGTCGAGGAAGGAGCTGCGTCTGAAAACATATGTCAGCTATACCTACAGAAGAATCCCTTTCACCCAGGTGATGGCTCCTGCCACTGCTTACCAGATGCTTCTAGTCGTAGGAAGAACGTCACATCTCACGGGGCGCATACACACGGCCGAGTCGTCGTTTATCAACGCTACGACCGCAGTCATTCCGACCGTGCACATGTATGCAAGAATTCTGGCGCTGGGAACTCAGTGTAATAAGTTATTTCGGATGTGAGTTATCGCGCACACGGGCCCGCTTGGGTGGTCCGAAACGTACGCGGACAACTGGCGTTCGCGGCGCGTTAATGGGTGCCACGAGACACGGAACTTCTATTATTTCTTGAAACGTCTAAATGTGATGTTTTACATATCACACTCGATACAAGGGCCGATATAAAATAGCTAAAAAGCAAATATAAAAATATTTGCTTTGTCGTTCAGCAAATATTTGCAAAAATGTCCGACGACAAGTTTGTCTTCTTTCGCCGCCCGTCAGACGTTTTTGTCTGAAATAATAAAAAAAATGCAATAAAATGAAATCAATACAGTTAATGCGGAATTTGCGTATTTAAACTGTTATCTAGCTTTATGGCGGATGCACCAATATATCAGATAGCTCGAAAAAGTTATTGACATTCCAAAACTCTTACTTTGAACCTGTATTCATTTTTATCATTTATTTTTATTTTGCAGCTTTCTACAGCATTTTTAAAGGTCTGCAATATACGTTTGGTCCTTGCTATTGTTATATGAGCCTCATGCATACAGCGCCAAATTGTTTCACCACGTGTCACTGCATAGTCAACAAATATAGTCCCTAGAAGAAGGATAACGTTCAACATCGTTTAAAAACCTTAGGTTTTTATGCATTTTCATGTTACATTTAATTGCACGTCTGGTTTCCGGCATACTAAAATTTGTCAATTCTTGATGGTTGTATATTATATGCTTATTTGGACCTCGTTAAATTTATTGTGCGATTCTCTTCGATGATGTCAAATTCAAGTAGCGCATTTTGTGTTTTTCATACGTCGTGCACAATGACATAATTGAATACGAGACATGGATTCTATAAGAAGTCTACAAAGTCCCGAAATTGAGAACTGTAAATATCTCAGACAGTCTGGTGGACTAATTTTACTAAGATTATCCCGGCCGGACTCTAAAGAGCCTGTCTTTGCTTTGCTTTTCTTTCTACCAGCCTGCAACTGCAACTTGCACGCCCGTCGGTGTCGCTTCAACATGGAGCTCTTCAAGCTGTCCGGACGCCAGAGCGGAGGCGTTTGCCTCAACTGCAGGCACAACACGGCAGGACGCCACTGCCACTACTGCAAGGAGGGCTACTACAGGGACCACTCGAAACCCATCACCCACCGAAAGGCCTGCAAGGGTACGTGTCTGCTCGTATTTTACATACTTAATACCACTATTTGTACACCCTCATGACCGCTCCAGGTTTAAAATTTAATTTTAGAAATAGTTTATTGAGCATTTAACCAGACAGCCATCGAAATGCTCCTGCTAAAAAAAAAAAAACACGCGTTTTTTTTTTTTTTTTTTTTTTTTTATTTGGATACGGAACTTTGTTTTGCGAAAAACTGTTTCGCCACGAGCGGTTAACTCGGATGTTTCAACAGTTCGTACCGTTACGAAATTATCTAAGAAGTTGTTAACTATAAGCATGTTTCTTCAAATTTCATGATCGTCTTTGAATGAGTCCATCTATTCTATTAAAATTTTTGCTCGTTTAAAACAAAAACGTGAAGAACTGTTTTTTTTATTTTTTTATGACTCGACAATTAGTTAATATTTATCTTTCCAAGAAACATTTCAGATCTCCTTAAAACAAAGCTTCAGACATTTGAACACTTTGCGAGTTTTTTTCAACTGCCTAAAAACAACGTAGGTATGAATTTGTTCAATTACAAATTTATATCTATAAATTCGAGGAAGCCGATATCAAAATGAGCAATAACACCCGACTACCCCAAATCGTTCGAACGACGCGGACAATGCCTCGAAGTCATCTACGCGCCCACTGAGCTTAACATCATGACTAGTGTATCTTTGGCAGCATCCAAATAACCCATCTGGGTTCCACATCGGCACCACGTCCCGACAGCTTAACAATCGATAGGCGTGGCTTACGATGGTCAAGCACCTTGCTTCATGATTCGTACTTTGGCTTTCTTATCGGCTAGTGACTATAGCGAAATGAGTAATTGCAGCTAGTGACTATATAGTGATGCCTGATTTATTGCTTTCCAGAAAAAAAAAAATGCTTCACAGCAACACAAAATAGCACATCCAACGAACGGAGCTAGAGGCGATGCCGTGAGATGAAAAAGAAAGTACATTTTGCGTATGGAACCAACGTTTTCGTAATCTAATTCAATTTAGTTCCCGTGAAACGTAACGTTCGATCATAAAAGATAAACACAAAGAAAAATATTCACCATCGGAACAAAACAGCAAAGTTAAAAAGCGTTATTTCACATCTGGCCCCTCTTTCCACTAATTATGTAAATTCCAGGGCGCTATGATGTGGATGTTTCGGTATATCTTTCGTTTCTAGAACAAATACCGGTCGTCTCTAAAACACTTAAAGCGAATTTAATTATTTCCGGAAATAAAAATCAAGCTAAGGGGCATTATCTTGCTTCAATGCGAAACGAAGTGCTGACTCCTAGCCAGCTTCCTATGTTCGTATTTAATGCAGACATACTTTTCGCTCAGTATATATTTATTATTATTATTATTATTATTATTAGGTTGGGGTGCATCATTCTTCATCAATGTCTACAATTTGCTTTTAAATATTCTACACGTTTTATTTCATTCTTATTTCTAAGTAAAAAAAAAAAGAAAAGAATTCAGTGCTGGCAGCGCTGTTCCAATTCGAGTCACGTAAACAGAAAGAGCCGCTCGGTTGTACGTGACATAATTACTACATTTCGAATGTTCGAATTCTTTTTCGCTTAGTTTCATTTGATCTTTGAGTGGGTGACGACAAGTTTATATTCCGCGATACCCATCGGATAATTATCTTTATTTTTTTTAATATAAATATCAGTTTTTTTGTTTGTTTTTTTTAAATTGGAACGTGACAATTATATCAGCCCACCTGCACGAAGTCTTGCCAACTTCGTTAGAAAGCACGGCGTTCTCCATACCCACTTCGCTACTGGCTTAATTCTAATAATGAGCAGATATACGTTTGATATTGCCATTGTCGGAGCGTTTAGTATATGAATTTGCAAACAATGAAAAGAGGTGTTCGGTTAGCTCAGATAATGTGTTTATGTGTGATTACATCCTGATGAATATCCACATACGTTCGTCGTCAGCTTACTGCGCATGCTGCCAGCAACTGGTCCTACTAACTGTATGCGTTTTATATAACAACTTTTGAGCTTTAAACGTTTTAAAAATAAACAAAATGCTTCCATCAACCGAATCAGAAGATGACCTAGTCACATTTAGTGCAGAAATGACAGCAGTAATGCAAGAAATACTGACAAAAAAACTCGGTTCATGGGTTATTAAGAATTATCTTCACGTATCTTGCTTCCTGATTTGTTTTTCGGTGTTCTTGTAGGCTAATACAGCACTTATTGGCTGCGGACAAATGATATGATGCTCTGGACTCGCCATGACTTGCGTTTTTTTAAGCTCTCAGCGACCATAGTCGCCATAAGAATTCACCCGCTATTCAATAATGCCATGCTCCCAAACATTATCTTTTGTCAAGGGGTAACTTAAGCGTAAGAAATGTCGCCAACAGCGTGTATGTCACAAGTCAACCTGTATTCAAATTATAATGCTCTAATGAAAGCAAATGATGCACATGTAAGTACGGTTACTTGTTGAAAGAATAGATGATCGTGTAAGCGTACGCGCGTGCACAACTTAGGCTAGCAGTCTTAACTTTTTTTTTTTTCGTGTGATGCTGATTCAAGTTTGAAAAATCAATCGCTAGAAGGCATCGGGGAATGTTACTATGTCGTTGCACCACCTGAGTAACTATGACCGATCAGTAATAATTATATACTTTATTTTCATCAAAATGACAAACGGGCATATAGAAAAAGAAAAAAAAAAGGAATGGCAAGGACAGTTCGACGGGTAACCGACATTTAGGGTTCGCAAATAAGACGTGACGTCTTTCAAAGAACATCCTAGAGTTATTTCAAGGCTTGTAGAGTTCATTTTCCTGACAAAACTTCAAGTAGGGCATTTATGATTGAATGTTCCAAAAGAGAATAAAAAAAGTCGAATTGCTAGATTGCTTATCTTGTGCTAATTGCTGTTTGCGTCACATTTTTTTAACCGAAGGTGTTAGATCTTCACCAATTCGCCTGGTGTCTATGTGTACTTTTTTGGTCACTCCAGAGGTTTAATTTCGCCGCTTTCTAGAGTAATTAACCCCGTCCGTATGGCGTGCGCCGTACAGAAGTGAACTCAATGCCTGTGCGAATCAAATCTTGCAAGGTGTGGGATTTGACCCTAAGACCCACCTGACTGATAGTGACAGCTCTACTGACTGGCATCTGAAAGCTTCGAATAAAACCAAAATTGACGACGAATATGTCATTCGCTGTAATACCTTATCTTTAACAACTTTCGCACATATCCAAAGTGAGAAAACATACATAAAGGTACAACCAGAAAGTGCTCACGAGATCTCGTAAAACTGCTCCATTCTGTAGCGAAGCTTTAGTCGTTAAATAAATAGGTTTCAAAGCAAAGCAAAGTAACGAAGAGCGTTTTTTGTTTTCTGATTCCGGTAAACACTTTAACGTGGTCTGTCCGCCTATCAGCCGTTGCGGAAATCAAGAGAACGAGCCTCCAACGAAAAATAGCCGAGAAGAAAATAAAACAGAGCACCAGAAAGAAACAAATGCTCGCGCACGAAATACGCGCACAGCAAACTCGCACGACCTTTGACCGCGACCCCGCTGACGTGCGCGCGCCCGCCTCCTACCACCTCCGTGTGTCCATGCGTTAGTTTACGCGCCTCTCTTTCCTTCTTCCCCTCTTTTTCTACACCCTCTCCACGGGCTTCTCTCTCTAGTTTCTGCGATGGACTGCATGAGAGGCTACGAACCATCGGAGCCAATGCAATGCCATATGAGCTTATAATTTTCCTTGAAAACCCTTGACTGGGTGGAGAAACTTGGAAGTAATCGAAGTATAGGTGAAACAGTAAAATCGATCAAAGCAATCGCATACATGATACGTTGTGAAGTAAAATCAGTAGCTGTGTCTGAGACGGACTGTCTGGTAGTCCGCTTCTTTGTTCTCCCCAGTCTCTGGTTTATCATTACGAAGTAAAATCTGACGTCCTTTTCTTTTTCTTTTTCTTGTACATTAGTGTTTTCGATTTTGCCACTCGGAATCAGGTGTTTTAAGAAAATAATAAACGTATCCCATTCTTGTACATAACTCGTTATAAGAAATAAAATTACTTGAAATCGATTGCTTTCTAGAGTAATTTTGTATTACATATATTAGGAAGTGATCACAACAGGAATCTGATTACTTTTGTAATTACTGAAATTACTTGTAAACGTTACTTTTTTATCCTCCCCTTTCTAATAGCGCCCTTCATTGAAGTTTCCTGCTAAGGAATCCTGGAACTAAGTCTCCGATACCAGGAGTGGTTTACCCAAATTGGTGGATTAAGAAGAGAAGTAGTTTATAATTCGGTGATTTTAATACAACAATAAGCAGCAAAAAAAAACCCACCAATTTCAAACTAGCAAGAAAAAACAATCTGTCGTTTTTAAACATTTCGAGAGTAGCGGTTAATTTTTCAAGTAACGGCCATCAAAGACTTTTCTTTCCAAGTAATCAAGCAATCTAATTGAATACTGAAAAATTTAATATAAAAAATAATTGTAACTGATTTGTTTTTTTTTTTTTTCGAGCAACGCGTGCAAGATTGACTTTTTTTACCTACTCGCCTGCGGCATCGGTTCTTTACCGCACGAGCGCAACGTCACCCTCGGGAGAGGCGCAGCAATGCGACAGGCGCGTGGTCACGTGATAAACGTCCACAGCGCTGGATTGGCTGGGACTGCCCTCGCAGTGTCCGCTCTGGTCCACCGTAACTTGGAACGAAACTTAGCGCCGCGCACCAGGCCGGGCCGTCCCGTAACGTACCGCGAAATATCTTCTCTGACAACCACCCGAAGGACCACACACACACTCTAGGATGATGCTTGATGAATTTGCTATGGTTATATAGCAGCGTTCCTCTGCGTTCTTCCAATCTTTCCTACGCTTCTTTTTTTTTTTTTTTTTTAAGAAGTCGCGATATGTAAGTAGAAGAGGTCGGTGTGGCCGGAGTGTGCTTGGGTACTTTATCTTTATTTTTTGTACGTACGT